TAAAAACTTTATTTTGAAATAATTATAATATAAAAAATAGATAAAATCATCAATTTTAATTTATGATTGTCTAATAATTAATATTTAAATATTTAATAATATATATAATTTTTGAGATTTTATAAAGTTTTTAATAATTAATTTTAATTATTAAAAAAAAAAATTTAAACCTTTAATTTAAATTGAAATTAAATATAAAAAGTTATTGATTAATATTGATTTATTTAAAAAACATTATAAATTTTATTATAAAAATAATATTTTTTTAATAATTAATTTTTAAATTAATTAAAATTAAATTTTTTAACTTTAATTAATAAAATTATAAAATAAAGTATTTTTTACAATTTTTTGATATATTAAACAATAATTTATGTATTGTGAATAAACTTTAAATTTTATTATTTTCTATATTTTTCTAATTATTTTTTTATAAAGTTATATAATTATTATGTAATTATAAAGAAACTAGAAAAGTAATTATAAATAGGTTTGATTATAGTTTTTATAGTTTAAATATTTAATATATAATTTTAATATAATTTTAATGTTTATAATTGTAAGATATAAAATTAGCTTTGATAAATTATTTGTATATAAAAAAGATTAAATTTTTAACAAAATTTTGATTTTTATTGCTAATAATGTTAGATTAAAATGATAAGATTTTAATTTTAATCAAAAAATTCTTAGGATCTGATTTTTTTAGTTTATTTATAAATTTAATAAATTTAATAAATTTAATAAGATTTTATTTTATAAATTAAATTGAAATTTATAATTCAAAGAGATATTAATTTTTTTTTTTGATTTTAATGTTTAATTTATTATTTTTTCTTTTATTCTTTATTTTTGTACTTTTTTAAATTATGCATTGTTATATTAAAGAAAAAGAAAAAAATTTTAAATATCATTTTTGGGTAAATTGCAATTAATTTTATTATTAAAAAAAAAAAAAAATAATAATTTGATTATTTTAACTTTGCAATATACTCTGAATAATCAGGTAAAACTTCACTAGTAAGTTTATTACAGTGAAGTAATTTAATCTTTCTAATATTACCAAATTGTTTCAACATATCAACAGAATTTTCAGAAATATAAACATGTTCCAACCTCATCGAAACCAAAGTATTCTTGTGTAATAATAATAAGTTTGATAAAATGATCTCGAAATTACTTTTAAGATTGGAGATATTAAATTCCGAAATATGTTTTTGCGATTTAATAATTTCTATAATTAATAATGTTATGATATCATTATATTCATAATATTTAAATTTGAAATCTAAATAATGAATATTCTTACAACTAATTGAAATTAATTTTAATAAATTAATTGTACTTTGCGTAAGAATGGAACGATTATGATTAATTTGAAATTTGACCAACCTATCTAACATTAAGAAGGAATTTTTTGTTGATTTTTTGCCTAATAATAAATTGGGCATATCTAATTTATAAAATTTTGTATGTCTATTAAAGTTTATTATTCGAAGATTCGTAGATTCAGAAAGAAATAATTTCATTAAATAAGTTGCAATGACAAGAATTTGTTGTTCTTTATACTTAACTCTAAATTTGTTCATTAAATATGAATGAATTGTACTCTCAAAATCGTCATAAAAAAGTTCTTGTAAAAAACTAGGATAATTAATTAAAGGTTTCTTTCCGATTGAGAGGTTAATTGAATAATAATTTTGAAATAAAGAATTTAAGTAAGAAAATTCTTGATTATCCAAGCAAGAAATAAAAGTTTCTATAAATTTGTACTTATTAAGTTGACTAAGGGCTTCTTTTGACAAGGTACTCTTCCAATATGAAGCTACGGGTTCCCAAAAACCTATAATATATGAATTTCGAAAAGGGGAAGCCCATAGTAATGGAAGAACATTTTTGCACCAATATTTATTAACAAAAAGACATGAATAAAGTCCATTTCCTTGATCATTGACATATTTAAATATTTGTTGCATACATTCTGTTGGTAATGTATCTTGTGGTATTATTATTTTTTGTCTTTGAATTTGTTCAACTTTGACTTTCTCATTTATTATTTGTTTTTCAACTAGAGGTTGAACTTTGAAGAGATCTACTAGAAACTGTGAACAAAATTTTAACATTCCTAGTTTTTAAACATGCGAGAAAATACAAGCTGAAAAAAAAAAATGTAAATCTGCATGTTTGGGCGCATTTATAAATCAAATGTCAATCTTTTTATTGTACAATGAAGGTTGACGAATTAAATTAAAAAGCATAATGAATAATTGTTTCATTTTGGAATTATCTAAATAAAAATGATTGCCGCCTTCGTCCATCATTAATAAATAAATAAATGATCGATTCCTTTTTTTTTTCATCAAGACATCCACATTAATTGTATTAATTCCAAAAAAAAAAAAAAAAAAAAAAAATGAAAATGAAAACGAAAAAAAAAATTTGAAATGAAAATGAAAAATGAAAAATGAGAATGAAGGAAATGTGAGACAAATTTACAGTGTGTATCGTATCGATCAAGTTTCCATTTGCAAATTTGCACCGCAGTCCGCAGCAAGAATAATTTTCGCGTTAAAAACGAATTGCAATATTAGTTGTAATTCCTGTCTAATAAATTCCAAATCCCAATAAAATTGATATACCTAGGGCAAAAGTTCATTACGAATCCATGAATGATCAAGGAATGGAACGAAAATGGAGAATCCTGTGATTTTAATAATGTCATCCTTAGTATTTCTATTAATAACTGGATATACCGTATAATTAAGTGTCACTTATTATTTATAGCAACCAAATGATTGTCGTAATAAATATAGCTGCTGACACTGCATTGCGTTTGTCTATTCTTAATGATACCCCATTTAATTAATTTTGGTGCATCGTAAATGAGTACTAATACGTATTTATCTCTGAAACTTGAATCTTGACAGAATTTTTTTTCCAAGTTACTTTAAAATGTGTTGGCCATCCACATGATAAATATTAAAACAATATCTCAAGGATTTATATTATTGTCCCAACTTTTTGTAATTTTTTTTCGCAAATCATTTGGAAAGATTTCAACGTGAGTATTTATGCTTTATGAGAAGACAACGACACACATACAATGTCATTGTAAATTGACATAACGAGCATCTTCTATAATGAAACCAAGTGTAGTTCTGTTACGTTCTACAACAACTTTTAAAGTCATTCGCGTTTGAACAATGGAAACTTTTGTGCAGATCATTATTTTAAAGTAAATATATTAAATATATTAACATTTTCATATGAACCCTTATCTTTTTTAAACGAATGATAAATGGAAAAATGATTATCTATACTTTGGCGCGTTAGGATCCAATCACAACTCAAAGATAACCCATCTCGGCTGAAACTTTTTGCATCATCACCATTCGAATCATCTTGGACTTTCTTTCGGATATTAGAACTTGCATATAATGAACTGCTTCATAAGATTAGGCACATGTTAAATTTATGCCAATGTTCGGAGTTATGAGGCGAAATAATTAACCAGAGTATTGAGACTCCATCCAAGTTTCTAATGTTTTCGTAAAGAAGCGAGAATTTTTAACAGGATTTTTTGCAGAATGATGAATCAGATGATTTATACAAAAAACTTTGGGAGAATCCATCTATATATATATATTTATTATATTAAGTAATAATCCTTCCGAATCTCTATGGGAGTTTGTTACATACGCGTAAATTTCCGCGCCGGTTGGAAATGTGAAGGATGGTTTTTACAATGCATTATGATGAGATACGTAACGTTCAATGTGTGCAATAGACATCTTAGCAACAGGTTACGAAAAATAATCGATCATCATCGATTATTAAGTAGAAATTATGGTCTCTAGTTTGACAACGGCCAGATGTATTAAAATACAATTATTGATTGATAATCAACACAATCAAGTGGTATCCATTAGATCTCTTGACTAATAAATATCTCTATATATATATGTATCTACTTGTCTTTAATTTTTTTAAAAAAATATATAATAAAATAAAATAAAGTTTTTGCGACGAGAATGGTAAGTTGTTATTATTGATCACACTAACCATATTAATTTTCATTTACTACTCACTTAAAAGATTAACTGGGAATGGAAACATTAAATTGTTTGGTGCATCTGAAACTCGTCCTGTCCAACCTACCTAGGTAAAGTAGGTTACTACCTTGTCAAAATGTCTCTCATTACATTTCATTATTTGGGAAATATAATACATACGAACTCCAAACTAAAAAATCGATTTGAGACTACGACTTGAAATCGTGTATTTTTATTGGCTCATTTTTAGAACAATGAATTAATCCATCACGTGCATTAATGATTCCTTTTTTTAAAATAAAGTTGCATTCTTTTATAGGAATTTTTCGAGGTAGAGATCCTATCATGCTTGCTTTAAATGATATTACTTTAAAGTAAAAAATAAAAATAAAAATAATTAATAAAAAAAAGGAATTACATAGGAGTTAAAAAATTGCCTAAATACGGTTTTAGCACCCATTTTGGTTCTTTATATATAACCTTATATGGGAATAACAAAAAGATCAATTCGTTAATTGATTGATATTTCTTTGGTTTACAACTATTCAATCGGAGTTACTGACCGATTATGACTATGGATTATCTTTGAAGGGAAAGACAAAAGAACCCTCTAGACTAACTGTTGTGAAATGAAATGGTACATTATTGTAAGCATCACTAATTTGTCTACATTATTACCACATACATTCTTGGCACAAAAGCGTACGCATTATAATATATATATATTTATATAAACGATAAAGAAATTTAACATTTGATAAGTTGTACAACCTGGTTCAATTAATAAATATAAGTAATGTATTACTAAAAGTAATTTAGCGTGAAATGATTTTTTTGTTTATCTTTAATATAAATAGACAAGCACTTCATTTTGTTTGTAAATACTGCGGCGTATATTATTTCAAGGCTTTCTTTAACGCGCAAGATACCGTCTCGGCATTTATTATCATGGTTGACCTATTATGTTTCTTTTGTCGCAAAGTTTCATCACCAAATGAGAATGCAATAAACAAGGCAGCAATAGAAATATCAGAAAAACCGTCAAAGAACGTAAATATTGTAAATAGTGCAGGAAGTGTAAAGACCATACCTACCAGAACACAACTCCCTGTTCCACCAAAGGTTCTTCAATTAGTCTTTTCATATTTGAACAAAGAGGAATCTAAAGGATTATTCTCTTGTCTTTTTGTAAATAAAAATTGGCACGCAAATGCTCTTAAAATATTATGGAATCGTCCGTTCACATCAAATCTCTTAACCCCCGTCAATTCCGTTAAACTTATCGAAACCTTCATACTATGTCTCGATTCAATCACTCAAAAATCACTAAAGAAATCATTGAAACGACAAAAAATCAAATTCATTATATCAAACAAACCTCCTTTATGTAATTACGCAACTTTACTAGGGGAATTAAGTTATGGAGATTTAGAAAAATCAATTCATCATTATTTATGTCATCTACATATGAATAGTAAAATCAGAACTTCCATCATGAGGAAATCATCTAAGGGACCACCTTCTCTTCAATCAATTTATCCCCAAATTGAATTGATATCCAAGAATTTATTTTTACTCTTCATCCAAAAAAGCACGGTACTTGAATCTTTAAGCATTGATAAATATTGTGACTATTCGGATCTACCCGCACCGGACGAAATATTTCAACGACCACTACAACAAAATTATCTTTCTCAGATCACTAAACTTCAATTGAATTATTATGAGACGAGTAACATATTTGATTTTTTGAAAGAATTACCGGAAACATGTAAAGATCTATTGGAATTCGATGTACGAATTTGCGAATTTGAGAATGAAGCATTGGTTAACAAATCAATAGCCAATGTGATAACTTCCCAACGAGCTTTGCGAAAGTTTAGCATGGAGGGGGCTAAAAATTGTGGAGGTACGATTTTAACTTCATTAGGTGATACTCAATCGGATACCTTAACGTCAGTACGATTTAAGTTGATGAACTTTAAATCGTCTGACATGAAATCATTGGCCAAATGTGGTCGATTAAAGGAACTTTCGTTGGAAAATTGTCAAGGGCTTACCAAGGATATTATTAAAATTTTATTGAATGCAAAATTACAAAATTTAAGAAAATTGGTTATTTGGAATTCTCGTAAGGATCCACATGTAACCTCTTTAATGATTAAATCGGCCGTCGCCGCAAAGAAATTATCAAAAGTGATAACAGAAAATGATGACGAATTAAGAGAACTAGCGTTAGATACTGTGGTTCCTGAGACGGTTGATACGATATTAAATTGTTGTTCAAATCTTACAACTTTAAAAATACTTGATTATCAACCAAAATGCAAACAGAATATGTATAGATTATTAAAAGGTTTACCTTCTCTTGAAAACCTGACGATTAATAGAGAAACAAAAATAGAATTGGGTGTCATCAACTTTTCAGGGAGATACATACCAGATAACGTTAAATACCTAAGATTAGAATGTGGGATTACGCCAGATCAATTAAATGACTTATTAAACGAGTTGGGAGATAAGAGCAAATTAAGAACTTTGATTTTAGATTATTTTAAACTAGAAGTCGCTCATTTGAAAGCCATTATTGAATGGAATAAGAGGAGGAGAACTTTAAAAACATTAGGGATCGGAGGTAAATCCGAATTTAGTGAGCGTGAATCAAAAGAATTGAGCATTTTACAGGATCAATATAACGTGTTTATTATCCCTTTGCATAAATTAAATAATTATTAAATAGATTTGTTTTTAAAATTAGAAAAATCGTAATTTTTTTTCATTATTGTATTATAACATTACGATGTAGAATAATAAATACTCGTTGATCACCGAGGAAAATTGAGTGTCACAAATACCATTTTCTCCTAAAAATGCGAGTGGAACATTATGATCATTATATAATGCATAGTTTTAATCTTTAAATTTCTAAATCGATTTCAATTTATCTTAAAGGAGTTAATTAGTACCTTTTATAATTAAAAGCGTACATTGGTGTTTTCACGCAGCATGTAACTTCCCAACCCAAATATTTTACACCATCATGGCTTATAACATAATCAAAGCCTCAAAGTCGGTGAGCTTTATTTAGTATATGCGCTAAGCCTCTCAAATACGTTTATTCTCAAAGATTTTTTTTGTTCATAGATTGATCGTTTATAAATTGTCCGTTGCGACTTGGGATCATGGGATCCTTAAGCAGCGATCTTTGCTTAAATTATATAAATAATTTTCGATCATTTGACTTCAGGGTTATTATTCGTGTCCAATTAGACAATTAGAAATGATGTTGCGAAAATAGCGTTATGATGCAGGTATAACGAACCTCCTTACAATCTTACAATGAGCAAAAATTTGGTGTAAAGTTGCACAACAAAACAAAAAAAATCTTTAAATGGAATTGGCTCAGTCGACTATATCAAGAACTAACATTTGATTTTGATCAACATTAACAACCAATACTAATCTTGTTGATGGGATATATAAATGCAACATTCTCCGCACTCAGGTGGAAAATAATTCCTTTAAAAAAAAATTCATTTTCTTTTCTTTGATCGAATCAACAAAAAAATAGAATATAATTATAGTAATAATAATAATAACAATAATAACAATAATAGTATGGCAAATTATTGCTTTTTGATTCGTCAGATACTTGAATTATTGAAGAACAAAGACTTAAACACCAAAGAAGCAACTTCAAAATCACTTATTAATCATCGTCAGGAAATTTTTGATGATTTAGGAAATTATGGACATAGGTATGCAGATGAGGAACCCTCGGAGAAACCAAGGTTAAGGGAATTTTCTATGGAATTTAGTTCAACCACGGAATTGTCATCTTTACCAACAAAATGTCTTGAACAAATCTTCAAGAATGTGGAGGATGATGATGGATCTTTAGGACTTTTTTCTTGCCTTTTGGTTTGTCGCGCATGGTGTAGAGATGTTGTTCCCTTATTATGGTCAAGACCTTTTAGTAAATTACCAAAAGATTCTAGGTATAAACTTATTAGAACTTATATCACATGTCTTTCAAGAGAAGAAAAATCTTATTTAAATTCACAACTATTAAATAATAAAATTAGAATTCCCGATTCATCTCGTAGTTTAATTAATTACTCCATATATTTAAAAGAGTTATCATACATAGACTTATATCATTCGGTTGATTCCGGAATAAAATATTATCGTAAATCATTCATTGGACGTAACACTTTTAGACAAACTTCCTTGATATCAAGATCAATATGTAAAATGTTTTTAACAAAAAACATAACCGATCCTTCATTTCATCTACAATCATTTAGGATTGATAAACATTTTGTGCAAATGGACATTTTCCCCGAGATAGATTTATTTTCAAAGGTTTACCCCGGTTTATCGCAAATCACTAAACTTACATTAAATTATGATCCAAATTCCGAAAATCTTTATAAATTTTTACAATCCTTTCCTTCTATATGTAGGGGATTAAATTATTTGAACATTACCTTACCTTATTTTGAAACTAATCCAAAATTAATAGATTTATTGATCTCCATCATTAAAGCTCAAAGATCAATCCATTCATTTCATTTATCTGGTGCGAGAATCGGTGCAAATCTCATCTTGCCAGTACTTTTATCCGAACATTCTAATTATTTGATTTCAATGAAATTTCAGAACGTTAATTTTAATAATGTCAATTTACATGCGATAACTTCCTGTTTAAGGTTAGAAGAACTTACCATATCCCATTGTACAGGTTTAGACAGGTCAAGTTTACCCTTGGCAAGTCGTTTAGGTTCTTCATCATTCTTTGATAACAATGGATTGATATTGAAATCATTAAGCATAGGATGTTCTCCGATATATTCCCAGATATCCACGATTATCCTCAATTCTCCAATTGGTACAACGTGTCGAGAATTATGTTTGGATTTGATCACACCAAAAATCATTAAAACCATTAAACGTTATTGTCAAAATGTCACCACGTTGAAACTCCGAGATTATTTCATCAACAACAATGACTTTGGAGGGTCATCGGCGGAATCTAGCACTGCGCCTCCTTTCTCATCAGGAGCGATGATGTTACGTGAGTTATTTAATGGAATATATCTTGAAAGATTAATAATTAGTATCAGTCCAAAAAATAGTGATTACGAGGAGTTAAATATTCACGGTAGAGATTTACCAGCAAGCTGCTGGTATTTGAAATTACAATGTGGATTCTCTGTTGAACGTTTGGATGATTTATTATTGAGCGATGAATGTATGGCACCGATCAGCGTGTTGATCTTAGATTATTCGAAATTACATCTTGAACATTTTAAAGCCATACGTGAATTGGTAAAAAAGAAGAGAACTTTAACATACTTTGGTATTTGTGGAAGGAAAGGATTTGATGATGATGAATTGAAGGTGATCAAAGATTTACAACACGAGTATAACGTTGTCGTTAATCTCAATGAATCCGATAAGTTATAACGTTGTGATATGTATATTAGCGAGATGTTATTTTCCATTTTTAATATAAATTCAAGTTACGATACATAAAAATCATATGATTTTAATATCTGAATGTAAACTTGTGTTGCAAAAAATAGATATAAATTTATATATTTATACTGTACATTATTATTAAGTTTTTTTTTTTTTTTTTACCAGTTTGAATTTATTAAATGTTAAACATAAATAAATACTTAATAAGTTAAATTAAAGAATTACCAAAAAATACAGTATTCTAATGCAAATTAATATTTAAGATGATTGATCCAAATGTGTAAGAATATATATATAATCGATTTATTTCTTATATTATCAAAATATTCAAACAAAAGATCGAAATTAAATCGTGAATGCGTATTAACATGATTAATACGGTCACGGATTCAAATCTTAATCGTACCAATTAAACTCATAACAAAGGATCACTTGTGTAAAAGTTAATTTTTTTTGTAGTGGAGATCATTTTTTTTCCGTAAAGTTGAAATAAAGCTGTTATTCTAGTTTGTTAACGATTAAAGTTCTGATTGAGATTTCTTTAAAAGTAAGTGATGATAACCTTTCTCTCCATGATTTTTCCATTTTATTTGCAGCTTTTTTGTCGGATTTTCTACTTTTTTTGTCATTAGACAAAAAAAACAGAATTATCTCTTCAACGTTTGGACAATAAGTCAATGATATATCAAGATTTTCTATATATTGAATATTAAATCCTAATTGTGTAATAGAATTTCCTGTTGATTGCAAGATGGAATGAGTGATCTGTCTTGTTTTAACTGAGGAAGCTAACTCAACCAAATGTAACGTGTTGAGTTCAAATCTGTGAATCGAAGTATAATGATTTAACCCTTCACAAAACCATATCCTAAGTTCTTTTAATTGTTCAAGATTCAAAAGAATGTCCATTGATGATTGTCCCAATTTAAGGAAAGCCAACGAAATTGAAGTTAAAGTCTTAATATGAACGAGCAATGACATCATAACTGATTCAATTCCAATATGTTTGGTATTTGATAAACTAAATTCTCGTAAACTATTTTGCTTACTTATGGTTTCGGAAATTGATTGTAATAATTCAACATTATAAGCTTTTATGTTGAATTTAAATTCTAAAATCTGAATGTCCTTGCATATATCTGAAATGTATTTTAGAAATTGAATAATATTACGAATCTTAATGCTATTGTAATCGATTGTAAGTTGAAAGAGATTATTGGGACCTGAGGAGTGTGATTCTGAAAATATAGAAAAGTCTGGTAAATCCATCGTATAAATTTCTTTATCGATTACGAGAGTATTAATGTTGGTGCCCTGTCGTAAAAGCATTTGAAATAATGAAATAGTGATGAAAAGAATTTGTACTTTTTGTATATCATTATAACATCCCATGGTTATTTTTGTTAAATATGATTTAACAAAGGTTTCCAAATCCATATAATAAATTTCTTGTACCATGGAAGAATAATTAAATATAGGATTGGGTCGCGCAGGTATTAGGATGTTATAAGCCTTTAATTTAGAATTGATTAATGTGGTTTCTTCTAAACTAAAGAACATTAATAATGTTCTTATAAGCTTGTATCGATTATGTTTTGAACAAAGTTGGAATGGCTGACTCCATAAAAATGGCACGACGTTCTTGCACCAATATTTATTTACCAATAACGAAGGATATAATTTTGATATGGGATCATCTTGGATATGTTGAAAAATTCTTTTCATACACTCTGTTGGCAAAGTTGGCGCAGGTGTTGTGAACTTGTGTTCTTTATGTTGTGATTTTTTTTTAATAAATGAAAAGATTAGACGTAAAATTTTCATATTCTTACTTTCAAATGTCAAAAGAAGAAAATAACTTCAGGCAAACAAAAAAAAAATATGTATTTATTTATTTATTTTCTCTATTTTTAATAATTTAATTTTAGAAAATCTAATGCGTTGTTTTTCACATTAAGTAAACCTGAAACCTTTTAACTGATGCAACTATATATTGTATGTACAATATGTATACAGTACTTATGCCTTTCTACAAATGATTGATAGTAGATCCATTTTATAATGAAACTTCATTAAAGGGCTCAGTTTGGATTAAATTAGTCATTAATACAACGCTTCTTTGAAGCTTTATATCACATAAAGTATATATCTCATTTTAGCATTGATTCGCTCATTCAATCATTCTGATTAAAAAATATTCGTGGAAATGGCTAAAAATTAGAGATTTTCCTGGTACGTTGTTCTTTTATACTTAAGTTTAAATGTTCCAACCTCTGTCACAATAATAATTTCCCGTAAATGAATATTGTTTCAATCCGACTCCGTATTCTGTAAAAGGATTTTAAATTTGGTAAACAAAGAAGCACCGCTTTTTAGGGAAAGAAACTAGCTATTTTTATAAAAACAATGATTTCTTTGTTGCATTTAAATATCCATAATTCAAGAAAAAGAAAAAGCAATCTGAAATTTTGGGCCTCCCAGAATAAAAAAAATTGATCTTATGTGCGAGTTTTTAATAGTGCGTATTTATTTATTGTTTTGATTAAATTAATAACATTGTTTAATTTTAAATATTCAAAAAACATTGGACCACTTCTGAATAATTAACCATTAAAAGGACAAGTATACAAATTTGGAAATCAATCAAATTCGTGTATCATTTATAAGGTATTTGATAGACATATATAGTCTTAAAACGGATTTTTTTTTTTTAATTTATTCATTTATTAGTTCCCTTTGATTTTAAATATTGAATCATTTTTTAAAATATCATTAACATCATTACAAACTCCATCACAATGAACCAAACTTAAATCTTTTGAAATATTAAATTCTTTTAAGAGATTGTTGGATGTCTCGGTAAAAGTAATGTTAGTAAATCTAACAGAACTTAAATTAGATCTTTGAGATAATAAAGCAAACATAATCGGATCAAAATTTATGTTTACAAAGGAAATACTAAATTCCATTAAACATTTTTGAGCTTTAATCGTATCAGCTATGTGATGAATGATATCGATAGAATATTCTGTAGGGTTTAAACTAATATCCAAATAACGGATTTGATCACAATTTAATGAAATTAATTGTATTAAATATTTGATATTCTCAGAGGTCGGTACTAATGATCCAACGAAATCTATTTCAACTCTTATAAGATTCGATAATCCGGGTTGTTTGCTTGGAAAATTTTGTAAATTCGGAAATTCATGATTCATGGTCTTATTTTTTATTGCAAGTATTTTCAGATTTATCGATTGGTGTAGAATTAATTTGAAGAGTATTTTTATTATAATTTGAAAATTTTCTCGTTCATCTTTTATATCAGGAAATATATTGATTAAATATAAGTTGACTGTGTTTTCTAAATCACTATAATTAAGATGTTTCAGATATGGGATAATTTAAAAGAACTTTTCTTTGAATAATAGGAAGCTCAGCGTTATATGATTTTAATAAATCAGAATCATCTTTACCGAGGCATGATAAATATGTTTCTATCACCATGAACTTATTATTTTGTTGTATTATTTTGTTATATGTAAAACTTCTTAATACTGGTGGAAAATCATTTAGATATGAATATTTAGCAGATTCCCGTTTAAAAGGATTCTCCCATAATAAAGAAGCCGCACAATTATACCAATATTTATTTACTAAAAGACAAGAAAATAACGAATGGTTATCTTCTTGATTTTGTAAATGATTAAATATTTGTAGCATAATTTCAATTGGTATATGAATTACTTTATGATTTTTAAAATCTTTTTTTTCTTTTGAAATGAAATTCGGTTTAGATTTATTAAATAGATTATTAAGGATCTTTATCATCATGATGATATTTATAAATGATGATGGGAATAAAAGGTTTCAAATTTTCTTCAAGAAAACAAAAATGCATGGCTGATTTTGTGATCATATGATCATATGACCAACAAATTGGGATTAGTCAAAATTATTATTTGCTATAATAAAGTCGTAGTAGATTTTTTAAATTAGAAGAATTATGTAATTTTTTTGATGATATAAAAAATTTATAATAAGTAATCAAACTAAAATGAATTAAATTAAGAGATTTAAGAAGCAAATTCCAATTTCTTTTTTATTTTTTCTAAAACAAATATTAAATGTATTATTAAAATCAAATTCTTTTATATTTATTTCTTTTAATCCAATTATCATTAATATATGTAATGTATCATTATTTAAAGAATTATAATTTAGTTTTATTTTTTGAGAAAATCATATTCATATTTTATATTAGAAAAATAAATATATTATTTCTAATACTTTAATAATAATTTAAAATGATAGATATTATAATAATAAAATAAGTAATTTAATTATTAATATATTTTTAATTATTTATATGTACTATAAATTAATCTAATAAATAAATATTTTAATAAAATTAATAAAAGGGTTATTTAAAAATTGTTTTTGAATTTTTAAAATAATTGCAAATGTAAAATTTATTATATAGAATAAATAATTAAATTATAAAATTTAAATATTTAAAATTCTAAATATAAATGATAAAGTTATATAATTTATATAAAAATAAAATTTGAAAATATTTTTAATTTAGTCTTTTATTAGCATATATTATTATATAATTTAATAGTTAATTTATATTATAGTATTATTTTGTGTAATTTTAATTAATAATATAATAATAGTTTTAATAAATAATTTTAGTAATAATAATTATAATAATTATAATATAAATAATATTTCTTAGATTATAAAGGTTATAAGCAAAATTGTCAACTTATTTATTATGATTACTTCTGAGTATTTTATTTTATTTTTATAAAAATTAAATTATTAAATTATATAACTAGTTACATACTAGCTATTTTAAAAACTTAATTAAAAATAATTTTGATTCTTAATTTAATAAACTTTATAACTTTTGCAATAAAAAAATTAAAATATTTAATAAACTTAAATATCTATTAATATAATTAATAAAATAGTATTAAATTAAAATAATAAAATTATTAAAATGAATATTTTATATTTATTAAAAAATTAATACTTTTTTTCAATTTTGCAAACAAATTAGAATATTTAAGTAATAATAATAATAATTATTATTGTAATTTTATTTTTTTTATATTAATTAATAAAAAATATTATTATTAAATATTTTTTTTAGAAATTTACTTGTTATCACTTTTAGTATCATATGTTTTATATTTATATTGCATATATTATATGTCATTTTACATCTTCTTGTTTTCACTTTTACTATATATTATAGAGACTTAAAATTTTTTCATTACTAAAAAAAATTTGTTTCATTCTCTTAAATCTCTTAAATGTCACCAGTCACATAAGATAATAGATAATAAAAAACATCAATTAATATTGGTTGATTTTATATTGATGCTGACTATATGACTACCAGTGATAATAAATAGTAAACTTTTTTTTATATCTTTAAACTAAATAATAAAGTTTTTATAAATGTATTATAAATAAAATAAGAAAATTACTTCATATCACTGGTAATATTGGTAGTGATCATTACTAGTATCATATATTTTATATATTTATATTGCATATATTATTTATCATTCTATATCACACCTCTCAGTTTTCATTTTTATTATTTATTTTTGAAATTTAGAATTTTTTTACTGCTTAAATATTTGTTTCACTCTAAAATGTTACCAATCACATAAGATAATAAAAAGTCTCAATTACTATTAGTTAATTTAATATTGTTTATAATTATCATTAATGATAAATAGCAAACTCCATAAAATAAAATTTAAATTAGAATTATTAATTAAAAACTAGTTATAAATCTAAAGCATATAAAAGAATACAATATTATTAATTTATTCAAATATACATTAGAATAACATAATATAACAATTAAAATTTATCTGATAATCAGATTTTTACATTAAATTTTAAAATAAGTTATAATTATTTTTATTAAATTTTATAATTATAAAATAATAAGTAATATTTAATATATTTTAATTTAATTTAAATAGTTAAATTTTATTATTAAATTAAATAACAATTATATTATTAAATTATTAAATAATAAATATATTATTTATTAAATTATTTAAAAATAAATTTTCTTTTAAATTAAAAAAAATATATAAAATATAAATTTTAGTAAAATAATCTTAATATAATATATTTAATGCTTTATTAATTTTATTAAAATTTTATATTTATTAAAAAAGTTATTGATTTTAAAATTAATTTTAAAAAATTAATAATAAAATTTTTAAAAAATTTATATACTTATATATTAATTAAATTACTTTATTACTTTATTATTGAAAAAGTCATAAAAATTTTTAATAAATTTATAATTAAAAGTAATTTTATAAAATATTAATATTAATAATAAAATTTTTTAATATACTGTATTCTGAAAACAAGCAACATTTTTTTATTATAATGTTACTTATTTTTGGATAATTTAATAAAATTCAAAAAATCGCTTGATTTACTCTAACGCAAATCAATAAATCCCGTAATAATTAATCACATTAGACGTTAATTGATCATTGAAAATGCGAACAGGTTTTTTACCTTATGCCAAAAAACTACGCCAAGTACTCAGTTTCATAATAAATGGCATAACCTAAAAGAAAAAAAGAGTTATTAAACGTAAAGTCAACAAACGTAAAAAGGTTAAACAAAATATTAAACGTAAACAAACTTCATATTCTGTTGAACAGAAAAAAAATATGGTTACTTACGTAAAAGAACACAATCGAAACTAAGCAGCAAAACATTTTGACTTTGACTGTGGTATGGTAGAACGGTGGGTAAATGCAAGTACAAGCTAAACAAATAAAACAAAATGAGAAAAGTAAATAGGTTAGTGCTGGACGGAAGGCATTTTATCCAGAAGCTGAAAAAAGCTTTATACCTAGATCATAGAACAAAGAAAACGGGATCTTATAATAATCTATATAACAATAAAAAGTAGAATGTTGGAAATTTTAAATGAGCTAGATATGGCAGTTCTTTATGGTAATTTGATAGATAAATTTAAAACATCTCATCGCCGGATAGTTGCTTATATGAAAAGTTATAACCTACTATTGCGATGTTACATAAGAATATCACAAAAACTTTCTAATCAAACTGAAAAGCTATTAGAAAGTTTTTATCAATTCGTTGCTAATCTAAGAATCAAAAAATCATTTGAGTTAAAGAACATTCTTAATATAAACAAGATCCTAGTCTGGTTCAATATGGCCAGTGCCCTTACTATTAACTTAAAAGGAGAAATAATGGTCTAGAAAAACTGATTTACAGTTATTCTCACATGCGTCGCAGGTAAATTTTTTCTAATTTTTTTTACTAAATCGAAAATTACTTACCATTGATTCATTACTTTAGATGGGTCTAAGCTTCCCCAATCTGCATTTTTAAAGGAAAATGGATATCATGCGATGAATAAGTACCTTCTAATATTATTGTCTTGTTCTAATATAACAGTTGGATGGACAGTAGATTAATGCTAAAATATGTCAACTATCTTAACAAAATGAGTATAAAAAACAGTATCCAGGGAGATTCGACAATGCTTATATACAATTCTTTCAAAGACCATTTGGAAAAATCAGTTAAAGAAAAGTTTTACAAAAATGGCATTGATCTCGCAGTAATCCTAAGCGTTTTAACAAGTATATGCCAGCCCTTTGATATCACGATAAATAAACCATTCAAGGATAATCTTCGTAAAGAATAGCATACTTGAATGGCGAGTGGTGGTATCAGGAAAACTGCCGCAAGAAATCTTTGTCACATCAGACTTAGTAATATATGTTTGTGGATTAAACATTTCTGGGAAAAAATTTCTGATGAAATTATTATTGAAGCTTTTAAAAAATGCAAAATATCAAATGAGTTAGACGATTTGGAAGTTACCGATGATGATAATAGTGATGATGATAGTAGTAGTGATGATGGTAGTGGTGATGATGATAATGGTGACAATGATATCGATGGTATCGATAGGGAGTGATAATAATGAAATTTAGTGTAATTTCAACATTAATGTAATTTTATAATTTGAAATAAAAGTTATTTTTTGAAAGTTTATTATAAAATCAATTTATTTATTATAGTTATCGTATTTAACATTAATTTTTCTAGAATGTGCTTATTTTCGGGTAATATATAAGTCCTGGGGTGCTTATTTTCAAAGGAATACAGTAAATATTTTTTAAAAATACATATTTTAATTTATAAATTTTTTTTCTTTATATATAAAAGGTTAGTTATTAAAACCACATTTCAAATCATATTTAAAAAAAATTTAAATTGTTTAAATTAATATTTTATTTTAAAATTAGTTATGATTAATTAGAATTATTAATTAGAATTATTAAAACTATTTAATTCTATTTATTATAATTACAATTATTTTTTTTGATATTTAAAATTATATGATTCTAAATAGAAATTATTATATAAAGTAAATTATATTTGCTTGATAAAAATTTATTTTGCATTTGTTAAAATTTTAAACATTTGGATTTTTAATAAGTTCTTAATATAGGTTTGATTATTTAATATAATTTGATAACTTTGATGGATTTCAATAGGTTTTAACAACTTTAACAGATTTTTTTATATGATTTTATTAAGTTTTGACATTTTTGATCTGTCTAAACTAGGAATTTGTCAGGCAGAAATAAAGTAAATCTATACTTAATCATTTTGTAATACAAATATTTTATTATAGTAATTTGAATTAAGAATTTAAAAAATAATTTAAAAGTTTAAAAAATATTATTAGTGCCAAAGTAAATCATAAACAAATACTTTTAAACATTATTATAGAATTTAATTTTTTATTAAAGTTTTATTTTTGATTCAATTTAGTTTATTAGAAAAATCCGAAAAAAGTGAATATAATAAACTAAGTTTTGAGAAATATGATATAATATTTTATAATATTATTAGATTTGAATTTTAAGATTAATTTACTTAAATAAAATTTTATAAAATAAATTTTGCATTTAAGTTAAAAATATTATTTCTGATACTAAAAATAGACGTAAATCACCGCTCTAAAGAAATAAATTAAACATTATTTATTAAAATGTGCCCTTTTTAGACAGCAAAACTTATTAACTACATCAATGAAAAAATATGGTTAGAGTTTAATTTTATTCCCTTTGAACAAATGGTTCGAATATAAATATCTCGAATCATACCGGACTGTATCTTATGCCCATTTATTATTTAAAATTATATTGTTTTAGAAATTATTCTTGTAAATTCACTTAATAAACCTGAAAATCTTCATGAACGACTAAATAATGTAACGCGAATTAAGTGAGTCCTCACATCAAGGGATAATTATTAATTATTAATTTGAAGATCAATGCAAAAATTTTCCTTAGTTAGTTAGTTCACCCGAAGAATTTATTTCGAACGCAAATTGTTTTATTATTCGTTCATGGAGAAATATGGACACCAATAAAAAAATCTTATAAAAAAAAAAGAAAAAAGCATGTTATATGGGTGTAACTCGGATGCGATATTCCGAAAAAAGTGATCGAATATTTGAGAGGCTTTGCTATCATTAATGGCTTTGCTATATACATTGAGGCTATGAAATTTATCTCATATCATATAATGACCGAATTCCAAACTCTGCTAGATTTCAAAGCTTTTAAGTCTTTTCATGTCAATAAAAATATCATGAACTTTCAAAGAAGTTCTTTCGTTTCAATAAAACGAAATTCTTTGTGCGCATTGTTAAAGAATGTCATTATTATGACCCTAATTCAACCGGTTTTGTGTCACAGAGAACATCATCATAACCTTAAGTTACGTAAACTCCACAAAAATGTTCATCGTAACGATTCCGATTTAGATTCAATAGAATCCACGACAATTTGTGGAAAATTATGTATTACAAGCTTCACGTTAATGATGCTATTTTATTTATGTATGGCTGCTTATATTTTAAAATATTATTGGAAAAGAAGAAATTCTACAAGAAAAAGCAGAGAAATACGATATGGCTTTGGCAAAGAACTAAGAAAGAATAACAGCAATAATAATGGTGGTGGTGGTTGGAAAGGAAGAAAAGACGAAACAGTTGTGGTGTTGGTATATGAAGGAAATCATTCAATAGTTTAAAATAGGAATGGTTGATCATTTAAAAATAAATATTTGGACAATTTTAATGTAATTTACTTACTTTAATCATCTAATAAAAAAGATCACTGTATAAACTTTTAGAAATAAACCCATATATATAGTCCCACTTTACCCATTGAAAATTAGCATCCGTTCATCCTCAATCACTTATATCATTGTTAAATCACTTTCTTTAAAGTAATCATGAAATTTGCTAAATACCTTCGAACCGAATCGGTACCAGAGTGGAAAGAGAAATATATTGATTACAAAGGCTTGAAAATTCTCTTAAATGCTATCGACTTAAAACCAACGACTCAACCTACCCCTTCCTCACCTTTAGATAATGAAGTTACAATATCGATATCTCAACCAACGGCTACACATGATCACGCCTCGAGAACTTTTAAAACAAATTCTTTATCTGGTATAATTTCAAAATCAAGTAATTTGATGAATAGAATGTCTAAAAATTGTTCAAACGCTATACAAAAGCGGATATACTCTTTACAAAGTAAGTAATGAGAAAGAAAGGAAGGTTTATTAAATTTATACATTTTACAAAGAACGTTTGTAAATTTGTAGACGTGAAAAATCCTATAGAATCATATGAATCTCTTTGGAATCAAATTGCTTCTCAAGAAAGGGAGTTCTTTATAACTTTAGAAGATAATTTAAACAAAGTTGAAAATTTCTACGAAAGTAAGTATCAATAATAATTTTATCATCACGATACAGTTGTCTTAATCAATTAATTTTAATAGCGAAATTAAGTGAAGCTATAAGACATTTCGAGAAACTAAAAATACAACACAAATGTATGAAAGAAACTAGCAAGGTAATGTAAATCTCTTGCGACGCAGTCGATATGACTCGGCCAATTCAATTCTTTCATATATATATTATTATATTTTATATTAGGAATGGTCTGGTCCCACAACCCCAATTTCACGAGTTGAAGAAACAATATTTCGTGCTAAACGAGATATGGACAATAATTCCGCTAAAAAAATAATTAAAAAGGCCATCTTGGAATTTTATAGAGGAATTGAATTGTTAAAAAACTATAAGGTAAAGAAAGGATTATTGCAGTTTGCTTTTAATCACGTGATTCACTAATTATGCTCTTAATAATTAGATTCTAAATCAAACGGGGTTCACAAAAATCCTAAAGAAATATGACAAAGTGTGACATTTTAATTTTTTTATTTTAATATTTTTTTTTTTACAATGATTTAACGAAGAAAAGTACAATGATAGTTTACGAAAAGTAACGGAAGCGAGATATATTTACCGCGGATTGCCAATTACAATTTCGTAAAATCACCTGTCCTGGATAAGCTCTTCCAAGAAACTGAGGTATATCTGTATATTAACACGCTAACATTAAATAAGTCAGTATACTAAAAAGCGAATGATGTATCTTTTAGGCTTTTTATGTTAATAATTTCGAAGGAGCTAAACGTCAACTTCAACTCCCAAATAAAGAACGAAAAGTATGATATAAATAATGATAAAAATTAATTGGTGGACTTTTTTAAAATCAATTATATGAATATTTTTGTATGTTTCTTTTGTAGACGCATTATTTCGTAACATGGCGCGTCGGGTTATACATAGGATTGTCAATACCGTTAATGGTTCGCGCGGTTGAATTAGGTTAGTTTCTTTGATATTATTAAAAAAAAAGTGTTTGCAACGAAAAGTTAATAATTGGCCTTCTTTGATTATAATAGCATTTAGCAATACAATAGTACTTGATATATTTGAGCACTTAATTCAGTCAGAGATGTTATACTTATATGCTGCATGTTTTATACCTATATTATTCTTATTATTATTTGGTTTAAATATGTATATCTGGTCAAGCATCGGAACAAATTATAAATTTATTTTTGATTTCAATCCAAGAAATAATTTGGATTTTAAACAATATCTTGAGGTAATTATGTTCAAATATAAATTCTTTTTAAATTTCAAAAAATAATTCGATTTGGATTTTTTTAGATTCCTGCAATTCTGATGCTGATTTTTAGCCATATGATGCTTATAAATATGTCCGAAAGCAATATGTTGTTACTAATTTTTGTAATATTATGTATTTTTCTGTGTCCTTTTAAAATATTATATTATGATGCTAGGATATGGCTTTTGAAATCTCTGGTAAATAATAATAAAAATAGTTCAAGTTCAATGCTGCTTATAAATTAAAATGATTAAATTTTTTTTTTCCTTTTGAAAATTTTAGTTACGAGTCATCGGAAGTGGATTTTATCACGTTGAATTCAGAGATTTCTTTATCGCTGATATATTAAATAGTTTAACTTATCCGTCAATATTTTTATTCTGCACTTGTAATTATCTTTTTATCTTTTTTTCTTTTTTTTTTTTAAAAAAAAAAAACTTTAAATTAATAAGAAATCTGAACAAAAATATTTATTTTTTTTTTTAAAAAAAAAATACATCTATTTATCTATTTAGTTGGAGAATGCAAAGAAAAATGGTCATTCATTGTACCAATATTATCAAGTTTACCGCCGTGGTGGAGATTTGTTCAATGCTGGAAGCGTTATTTTGACACTTCGCATAAATTTCCACATTTAGCTAACGCAGGAAAATATTTATTATCAATGGCAACATTATGGCTATTTTTCTTTGAGACTTTCGCATCATTTTCGATAGGATGTCAAATAGTTTCTTCAACATATTCATTACTATGGGATCTATTAATGGATTGGTCTTTATTACAATTAGATAGTAAAAATTATTTATTAAGAGATAATATTAGTTTTAAAAGTTATGTTTATTATTTTGCTATCATTTCTAATGGATTGCTAAGATTCAGTTGGGTTTTAAAATTCACTATACCTCAAAAATATATTAAAATTACCGTTTATGTTATTGGTTATTTTGAAATGTTGAGACGTTGGCAATGGAGTTTACTTCGTATAGAGAACGAAGTAGGTAATTTTAAATTAATATCTATTAAATTTATCCATTTAGTAATTCCAATTTATTTTCCTTTAATAGCATGTGAATAATTGTGGGCAATTCCGCGCTGTCAAAGAAATTCCATTACCATTTGAAAAGGATGAAGCCATACGTGAAAAAATTGGATTAAGAAAGTCACAAGGAATTCTTATTCCTGAAAACAATCTTTTTCCAACAATTTTATTTCACGATGATTCGCAAAAATTTGAATATACTTATGAAGAAAATAATACTAATTTAGCTGAAAGCACAGAGAATGATGATATGTTGTCTATTAATCGAGTTCGACAAAGGGAATTGTCTTTAATTTCCTTAGAAGGTAGATTGATAAGCAGCAATAATAATCATGCACTTAATAACGTTTCTGCATTTAAATGATAGATATATTTATTCTTTGTTCCCGTATAAAAATTAAATAATAATTTAATTTCAAAATTTTTATCAAATATATATATATATTAATTATATTTAATAATTTAATATTAAATTACAGAAATTACATTAGATACAGTGTATCATCATCCAAAAATTTTATTTATAATAAACTTCACTAGACATAACAATAAACAGACTTTCTAATAGTTTTTTTGTTGTATTATAAACCCATTTTTATTTGATATTTATTACGTCTTATATTTAACCATCTGAAATATTGCTAGGAAAATCAATTTTTGACTAAAATTAATATCTTATTACAATAAAATCCCTAAATATTTATAATGAAACATTCTTATATTAATATAAACTAGACTGTCAATAGACTAATTCAAAGGCTTATTTATTTTTATATTGAAAAAGCTATGGAAATATTTTTTAGATGTTTAATATTTACCAGATATATTTTCTTTGTATTTTAAGAAATTTCTGATTTTTATAAACATTCTCTACATCTTTATGTTTTCATATTTTATACAGTAACTTCTATAATTATTGCATCGTTTTGTTTAAAATTTTTAAATTATAATATTGTTAAATCTATTTATCATACAATAAAAAAAATTTATTAATTATTAAACCTTAGACTTCCTTTATTATTTGTTAAAATTTAATTTGCACATTATTGACTTAAAAAATCTTGAATCACCAAAACTTTGCAGTCAAATACTTTTGGCATATATCAAAAAAAATTTTTTGATTACATATTTTTCAATAAAATTTCTAATTAATCCTATTTGAATTTTTTTTTAAAACACCACTTTGTATATCCTTTCTTCATTAGCCTTAAGAACATTTTTAACCAATTGTAATATTGTATTAATTAATTTTAAATAAATATCAATAACAATCTGATTTTATACTATTTCACAAATCTTCTATACTGGTAATATTATTAGAAAGCTGTCACAAATGATGATCAATTTCATTTTATAAATGTTTGATAGAATTTAAGTCTAGCGATTGTGTTGACTAATTTAAAACCTTAACATTATTGTCATCAAACATTTAATTGTCTTATTAGCTATATATAAGATTGCTTATCTAAATTCATTTTAGATTTGGCTAAACTAAAGCTTTGAACAGTTCAGATCAATCCAAAATTTTTTTTGATCAGTTCAGTTTTTTCAGTTCAGATTGTAAAAAAATTAACCTGAAAAATTTCAGATCATTTCAAATTTTTTTCAAATTATAATTCAATCTAAACTGAAAAAATCTGAACTGAACTGATTCAATCTGAAAATTTCAGATTGATCTGAAGTATTAATTAATAATAAATGCCTCTAAATTTTAGGCATTTTTTATTCAGAAAATAACTGGTAAAAGTCATATCTAAATTGTCAAAAGTGACTTTTATTAGAAAAAAATACTAATAAAGTTGCCTCTAACAGTTCAGATGTAACATTTATTATAAAAAATAGTCATACTGAAATGTCAGTGCTAGAAAAATAATAAAAACAATCGCATCTGAACTGTCAGAGATGACTATTATTGTAAAAAAAAATAATAAAAAAGTCACACCAAACTGTCAAGGTAACTTTTATTAGAAAAAATAATAATAAAGTCAATTCTGATAGTTCAGCTACTAATTTTATTATTATATTTTATAATAAAAGTCACTTCTAACAATTCAGATGTGGTTTTTATTATTATTATTTATAATAAAAGTCACCTGATAGTTCAGATGCTACTTTATTATCATATTTTATAATAAAAGTTATCTCTAACAATTCAGATGCGGCTTTTATTATTAATTTTAAAATAAAAGTTACCTCTAACAGTTCAAATGTAGCTTTTATTATAATAAAAGTCATCTCTGACAGTTTGAGTGTGATTTTATTATCATATTTTATAATAAAAGTCGCCTATTATAGTTCAGTTGCAGCTTTTATTATTATTTTTTATAATTAAAGTTGTCTGACAGTTCAGATGCAATTTTGCTATCATATTTTATAATCACAGGTCGAACGCTGATAAATCAGATACCTTTCTGATTAATCACTATTTTTTGATCAGCAAACAATAAATAGAAATCAGTAGATATTACAATCGGGTATGAATCAGTTAATAGCATAATCATAATTATTAGGTAGAATTACATAAATCAATTTCCAACCGGATTTTATACTTATTTTAAAAAATTTATAACTATATGGGAGGCGGTCAGTAGAAAAGGGGGAAATCCAAAATTTTTGTTAATTTTAATTATTAAGCTAATTTTGTGCACATGACTGAGATCAGCCAAGTGGTCCAATAATATAAATTTTGACCAAAATTTGGATTTCCCCCTTTTCTACTGACCGCCTCCCATATGTTAAATAGTAACAAATCAGGTTTAATTAATAATTAGTTATCAATCAGTTTAATACTTGATTGATGATTATTATTTAATTAGAATTTACCAATTGGTAACAATTCACTAACAAGTCACATTAACAAGATTTGTTAACAATCCATAATAAAATTCATTAATGGTTCACTATAACAATTTGTCACAAAATTCATTATAATGATTTATTAATGAATCTATAATACAATTCATTATAGATTTCATTAAACAAATCTGGCTAATGATTTGTTTTGGATTTTCATTAACAAATCTGTAATATTATTCGTTTAAACGATTCATTTCAGGTTTTTATTAATAAATCTGCATAATAATTCATTACAGATATCGTTAAACGAATTTCATTTAATGAATCATTATGGTTTTCATTAAACAAATTCTGTTTAAACATTTCGTTAAAGAATTCATAATATGATTGTTTAAATGATTCGTTTCAGGTTTTTGTTAATGAATCTGTATAATGATTCATTACAGATTTCGTTTAAACGATTTGTTATAGATTTCGTTAAATGAATTCCTATAACAATTTGTTGTAGATTTTGTTAAACAAATTCTGTTTAATGATTCATTACAGTTTTCATTAAATGAATTCTGTTTAAATGATTTGTTAATGAATCTGTAATACAATTCGTTACAGTTTTCGTTAACTGAATTCCGTATAATGATTTGTTACAGATGTCATTAAACGAATTCTGTTTAAATGATTCATTAACGAATCTTTAATATGATTCATTACAGATTTCATTAAATGAATCCAGCTAACTATTCGTTTTGGATTTTCATTACCAAATCTGTATAATGATTCGTTACAGATTTTGTTAAACAAATTCCATTTAATGATTCATTAATGAATCTGTTATATGATTCATTTAAACGATTTGTTTCAGGTTTTCATTAACGAATCCATATAATGATTCATTACGAATTTTGTTAAATGAATTCCGTTTAACGATTCGTTACAGTTTTCATTAAACTAATTCTGTTTAAATGATTTATTAACGAATCTGTAATATGATTTATTATAGTTTTCGTTAAACAAATTCTGTTTAACGATTCGTTACAGATTTCGTTAAACGAATCCATTTAAACGATTCATTACAGTTTTCATTAAATGAATTCTGTTTAACAATTCATTATAGATTTCGTTAAACAAATTCTGTTAAACTATTCATTAAGAATTTTGTTAATGAATCAGAATAAAATTCGTCAAATGATGATAAATTTCGCATTCGAAGGCGATTTTTATCGTTTCAAAGATAAATTTCGCATTCAAAAGTGAAATTTCATCAATTCGAAGACGAATTTTGTTTTGAAAGTAAAATTTCACCAATTCGAGACAAATTTTATCATTTTGTAGTGAAATATCATATTCAATAACAATTTTCATTTTCCATTAATTTGTTATTATTATTTATTTACTATTAATCTTATATATCATAGTAAAACAAAAAACATATATATTTAACCTTTTTTAGGAAATCAGAATCACTTTTTCTTCTTTTTCTTTTCTCATTTTTTTTTTTTAAAAACGCTTTTTTCTCAGTTTTCACTAATATTCTTTTTTTTTTTTTATAGTAAATATTCTTTTTTTTGGATAAGGTACAGTAAGTGGCTTTTCAGGACTATTTTTCAGCTTTTTACTTATTTTTTCACCAAACTTTCTTTTTTTTAAATAAATTAAGTAGCTTTTCTATGGTGAGTTTCGAATTTTTTTCTTTTTTAATAGTAGTTGACCTTTTTTGCTATTAGTTAAAATAAGTAAGTTTACAAATCGGGATGGTAGTTTTTTTCAGATTTTTACTAATTTTTTTTTTTATTAGGAGTGGATTTTTTTTGCTTATTAGCTAAGGTATGCTATAAATCAGAACTCTTTTGTTGTTGTTTTTTACTATTTTTTTTCTTTTTATAGTAGAAATAAACTTTTTTGCTATTGGTTAAGGTAAGTCTATAAATCAGAATTGTAGTTTTTTCAGATTTTTACTAATTTTTCTTTTTTTAATAGGAGTGGACTTTTCTTGCTTATTGGCTAAGGTAAGTCTACAAATCGGAACTCTTTTGGTGATGATTTTTCAGGTTTTTACTAATTTTTTTCTTTCTTTAATAGGAGTGATTTTTTTTTTATCAAATATAGCAAATAATTAAATTTAATAAATTTGTAACAATCAGAAGCTTATATTTATAAATGTAC